ATGAATGGAGATAGGCAACTGTTTACAATAGCTCACCATTGAAAAGCTTTCATAGAGTAGTTGTGTGATCCTCAAGGCACAAAAATAATGTGGGGATGTTGTTATGTTAGAGGTTCCATTTTGGATTTTGCAGGCCCTGTCAAGAAAGAGTTTTTCATTTTCAGTAGAATTTATCTCTGCCTCCTTTTCTCTCAATTAGGGTTTGTGGGAACTTTTGTGTCTGAGGTGGAAAAGGGGTAACTAATAACACTTTCACCAACTCCATTAAAGTTTCTTTTACAAAATGTGAGCTGCACTACATGAGTTCCATCTGAGTACACAGCCACGCACTCATTCAATCAATCCCACTCCTCCTCTGTGTAAATGAATGAATAAATGATCATATGAGTTCTATGAGCTTCACCTGCATTATCTGTGGCCTTCCCTGCATTATCCTTTAGGGAGGTGCTTCTCTAGGGAGCCTTGCCGCAGTGATAAATCAAGGGGGTAAAGAGTAAAATCAATTAATATATATATATATATATATATACATGTTATTTATTTATATTTATAAGTACACACAGGCACCGGTGTTGGCTGCAGAAGCAGAGCCATCAGGCCCTCATGCAAATGCCAATTGCCAAGCCAGATCTAAGGCCCTTTTTCTTCTGCTGCTTCTTCTTCTTCATTCTTACTTCTTCTTTTCCATCCTGCATGTGTACTGGAGATTACAGTGGGGCCCCACTTTTGTGACTTTGCCTTCATAGCTTCCAGCTTCAATAATACCACAGAAAATGATTGATAGGTCTGAGCCCATTGTAGGCTTAGGCTGACATTTAAGGTGAAGGAGGAACAGAGGTGGGCGGGCCCAGCCACGCCCTGATGGGTAGATTAATAGAAATATATACGTTCATATACATATTCATAAATAAATATATACAGAAATGAGAAGAAAAATGAAGAGAGAATGAGAGCAGGGATGATACTGGAGGGGAGGGTGAGGAATTAGGGGAAGCAAGGAGGGGGATGTAATACTGTAGAGAGAGGGAGAGAGAGACTTTGTGAGTGAGTGAGTGTGAAGTTGTGGGTGTATCCTGGCTTGGGAACATAAAAGGACGCCCCATAATCAGCCTTAAGTAAACACAGGGGAGGGTGATAATATGACTAGATTGAGCACTGCAAATTCCCTTAAATACCAGTCATGTCATGGTACTCGCCTCCTCGCCCCCTGTCCTGCTGGCCTTTGGATGGGATGGCCTCTTCATCGCCTCTCATCATACTTACCACTTCCCCACTAACTCCCCCCTTGCCTCCCCTTTCCATTATACTGCACCTGCTGGAAACTCCCACTGCCTCCAACACCCTATAGTGGTAGTAGTAACAGTAGAGGAGAGCAAAAAAAGAAAAAAAAACATAAAAATAATAATAGTAACACAACAGAAAATAATAGTAACTATTCCATTAAACAACATAAATATAATAATAGTCACTATTCCATGGTGATGGAATGCTGTTCCAGTAGGTTGGAATACTTGCAGATTGATTTTTCACTCATATTCAAATATATGAATATACGGGCAGTTTTGAGCGGATTGCATGATATAAAACGTTTTTCATTAGAGTTGGGCTTATGAAGAGTCCGGTGCGGTTGAATTGCGTCAGCAGGCGGAAAGAGGAGAGACCCGACCATTGCCATGAAGTCTAGAGTGATCCCCAAAGACAAACACAAAAGTAATTAATGAACAAAAATAATAGTAGTAATAATAATAATAATAATAATACTAATTAGCACCACCCCAGATTTCACTGTGAAAGTAATCTGTAAAACGTACTGTTGGAAGGCGGCGTATAGATTGTTGACTCTGCGACGAGGAAAGGTGGGCAGATTAAACAGGATCTTGCGGACTTGGCCAGTGCGGAGCACAATTCATAGCCATGTATGTGTTTATTCACTGCGAGTTCGACAAGGTTAAGTCTAGCAGGTTAGTAGCATCAGCGAGGGGGGTTCAATTACCTCTGCACTACACCAGAATGCGCCTGAAATGCTGACAACCTCTTTAGGAGTTATAAGAGGCTGTAACCAAGGTACCCTGGTACAATGATAAGTATCATGTTGAAGCAAGTCGATTACAATGCTTGTGGTCCATTACTCTAAATTCCGATTCACTGAAAAATATGTGGTTGATTGATGAGGTTGGCATTGCCCCAACAGGGATCCAATCTGGAGCTGAGGACTTGCACACTATTCGCATTGGATTACTGATGCATTTAATAAGTAGAAAATGCACCCTCATGTGGCTACTCAGACCCTGAAGTAGGCACATCTGCATGCATAATAATAACAGTAACAAAAATAAGAATAATAACTATAACTATGGGATAATAATAGTAATCGTAATAAAAATAATAATGGGTTGGTAACTTTGAGGAGGATACTGAAGGTGGATATGTTGTCTGACGCATGAAAGACGATGACTCCGACGCAAGAGAAATTCTTTAACTGGGTTAAGCAGAGTTCGCAAAAGATAAAACTGCAGAAAGGAGGAAATCGAATCATTCTATCATATCACCAATACTTGCGCACTCAGTTAATTACGCGGACTCAATGCTTCAGCGTTTAATTTTTACACCTTCCTGGTTCTGCTCAGTGCTGCCCCGTCTGACCATCGGTCTGTATCATGACCAGTATACTACAGAGAATTATAGTCTTTAAGAGGGTCACGGTGTCACCACTGTTCCCATGGAATCTAACAGAAGCCAGATGCAGGATCAGACGGACGGGCCAGGAGCAGAGCCTGTTGCAGGTCACTATTGGTAGTTGAGACCGAGTTGAAACAACTCCCCACGACTTGCCCTATGATTTGAACTGAGAGTCAACAAGAGATAACATTTATAGTGCGCAATACATGACAATCGAATTGAGATCCCAAACAGAACTTTTTTGGTGTCGGTTACATAAAATACTTGGACCTGCTGGACTTATCTAAGGGACGCTTTTGAGGCTTGGAGCGGCCCCAGCGACTACATTCTGGTTACGTCTGAAACTCCATCACTCTGTTGTAGTTCAATGCAGTAAAAGTTACGAAATAAGAACCGGGAGATTGTAACGTATCCATTCGCAAGAAATCGGATTTAGTGACAAGCCGACCAGATGGGTGGATCTACTTCATTGATCGAGACCTAGAAACACTTGTTTATTACGAGAAAATGAAATCGTACGATGGTTGAGGAAAGTTAAGTAGTAGATGATATATGTCACTGTTGTGGACAGGTCTACCAGAAAGTTGTTGAATAACAAAACAGAGAAAATTTATATGAAGGAATGCCAGTACAAATAATTCTTAATTGGGATCATAAAATGGATGGTCTGTACGATGCGTAACTTTGAGAACTTTTAGTTCTGGACGAATTGGAGGGTTATTAACGGCAGCAGCTAATCACTTCCATTCAAGCTGGCTAGAAGCAGTAGCTATGCAGGAGCTGTCAAACATGTATTTATCATGGCAGTTTATTAACCTAAACAGCAGGCTAAAATTTAATACCAACTCAGGGCCAGATTCAGTAACTCAAAACCTTAAATTACAGAGATCAGCTGGTTATGGAAGTGGTACGAGTGCATGCAACTGTAGAGGGGTCCGTTGAGATTTCCAGGCTCAACATCTAGGTTCTACGTCGAAACATATTTGCAGTGCTACATGGTTGATTGGAGCGGTGCCCAAATGCGCCAACAGCTATTGCCACTCTCCATGTGTAAACCTACGTATGTTTTCATTTCCGGGCTCAACAAGGAATCTGGTACAAGTTTCTGAGATGACTCAAATGAGATATGGAGCCAAGGTATGGGTGGGAGGGCAATAATCAATCCGAAATAAAAAGGAGATCCCAATGAATCAATGTAATCATTACGAATATTCAACTCAGTCTTCAATAAAAGTCGCCCAAATCATTCTTATACCAAGAAGGCTAGAAGAGTATACCTCAACATTATTACATTACTTACACAAGGTTCTCAACTGCAAGCTATCATTATCTAAGGTACTGGAGATCTCCATCGTCGGCACCAGCAACCCAATCCTTGCTTCAAGTAGATAATTTCTAGATCTGGACCCAAAAAATTTACGTATTAATTTAAGGATTTCTCAACGTAATAATGTTACTGAAATGCCCAACGATGTGTCTAAACAGTTGCATGGATTGAAGAAGTTTCTTTCCAATGCTCCACAACACAAGATAGACAAACCGCGCGCCTTGATCTGCTAGTCCTTTTTACGTCAATTGAATGCATTTGAAGCCAGGATGTCGCAGTCAAGTAAGTACCAAATTGCATCTTGACGCAGTTGTCAGTATCGAGGAATTTAAGAGCATGGCCCTGCACCAACGACTAGCTGTAGAGAGCCCGGGCGCTCAGTACGTAAGATGATACGGTCGTTCGATCCTATCAACCTGGTATCTGCAACTGCATCAGCCGGGTGGTGCTCAACAGTTTGGTGTCATCTGAAAATACAGATTATGGGTACTAGTTGCTCCTCAATCTAGAATCTCATGAAGCTGGACTCAAACTGTAGACCAGCTGACTGTCAACACCAGTCGAACCATCCACCTGACGAGCCCTGGTAAGCGTGGAAACGAGAATATGCATATATTCTTCATCAGAAGAATCCTATTGAGGAAAGTTGAATCTCCGCGCTGTCGGCTTGCTGTCTGATCTCTACCTGGCCTATCGTATAATATTCGTTTACTGATGCGAAGGGCCCCCCATAAGCCAATGCTTAACAGGTAGATCTCTCTGAGTAGATGTCGATCTACCGAGAGCACTATTTAATCAGTAGTGTTGGTAATATTGTGCAGAAGGTCCATTGTCACGACATGATCACGACAGTAGTGTAATTAGGACTAGAATTAAGTAGTATGGCTCATCATCGAGAAAGTCACAAGTATACTGATCTTTTTAGAGAGATGATAACGTTGTAGCTGGTGAACGGACCCCTCGTATACATACAAGGTCGAGAGACAAGATACTATGCAGAGAATTACCACATTCTGTTAAAGTTGGATTAACGCCGTTGACATGAGAGTGTGTAGATACACAAGTTCCAACTTGATCTCTTCCATCCTAACTTCAAAGCCACAATAAAAATGTGAAGCTAATCGAAGGAGCTGATGCATCAAATAAAAGAATGAAATTTATGTACCCCCTGTTGTAAGAACTATTTAGTCTTCCGGAGGCATTCCTAAGTCTTACTGCCGGACGAGCTTAACTGCCAACCTTGAGCCGACCAGGTAAATGAACCAGGCGTGTCTACACTAGGCTACCCTTAAAGATTTACTGTAACGCCTCCCTAAAATCTAACAGAGGCAGCAACATCCTCCAAAAATCGGGGTCAAAACTGGAGTTGGAACTGCCAGTCGATTGAACTGAAGGTCAATACTAGAGACTCACATGTTACTTGGATGCCAAGAGGAGACACAAAATAGTGGACGATCTTGCCAACCCAACAATAAGCACCCGTCCTCAACGTCCTCCACAAGCCGATAACCATCGCAAGGGTAATGAAGTCGTAGAAGTAGTCTAGCTTGTGACGTCGCAAACCTGCTTGTCGGCAGCAACTGAAACCCAGCTCTCTCGAAGAATCTGCGCCACTGCTCACATCGCTGGTGTCTAACTGTGCGCTCCGTCCCATCACATGCAACGATGTTGATAATCTCCATTTTATACCACGTCTGTTCAACTCTGATTCGCTCAGGGCTAGTCGGAGGCAACGTCGCATCCAGGCTGTCGAACAGAGTGGAATAATGGTTAAGAGCCTCCGCGAACCGGTCTAGGAAATGAGGTTGATTGTGGCTTGCTTCAAGCTCCGCAAGAGTGACAACTCTAGGTGTGAGAGACTCCAACATATACAGGAAGGAAGTAAGCTTTTCTGAACCCTTTGCCAGCAACTGGTGCAGCTGGAGCATGCAGTTAAAGGCAACAGCTTCGCCTATTCTTAAGCCAAACATGCTGGGAATTAGATTCTCAGGGGCTTGTACCAAAGGGGTAAATTCGAATGGAAGTTGTATGGACTGGGCAAATTCCGCAAGCCGTGTCCCCGTCCGATCCAGCATTTCTCTGTCCTTTCCTACACCAGTGATACGCAGGTGCTGGATGGTGTGCCCCTCCTCGCCTCGTATATCGGCCAGAGCTTGCATGAATGGTGGCCACTGAACACCATGTCCAATGTCCAAGTCCACAATGTGAACAAAGTCCTCGCCAGTGAGAGCCTCAAGCAGTGCTTGGTTAGCAGTTAAATGAGCAAAACGCATGAATGGCGTAACTTGATTGAGCGCTAAGAAGGCTGAAAGGATTTCCTCGCTGCTGGGCTCTTGTGTTGGCGATGATAACAACTCGTTGATCTGCTTAGAATCATTTCAAAGCACTCATGATTATTGCATTACACACACTCTGAACAACCAGATCAGATAGACATGTCAGCCAAAGCTTTGCCTCATCATATTCCGCAAATTACTTCTCAATCCCTGAAACTCGTACGATTGACTGTTCACTGGATTGGAGTACTATTGCAGAATGCTCTATCATGATCAGTATCTTAATTAGAAGAGTACCAAGAACATATTATACCCTGATGAGGGAAACTGTACCACTGCGAAACGGAAACAAATGTTTGTAGTTCTAGAGAATAAGTTCCCGACAAAACCACAGAAGGCGAGAACTTGTTGCTCATCAAAACGACCAAGGGTCAGCAAGTACTAGTTACATTCAGTAGCACTGATTGATTGCTCTACATCATTGATAAATGTGAAGCAGTAATTTATTACCGAGTAGAAATGCACATTTTATAATTGTAACATTGAATGCTCTGTTTGCATGAATAATAGAAGAGTAGTAAACAAGATAGGAATCACGTTTCCAACGTGCTGCCAAATTTAACGTTGCGAACTAACCTCGGTGCCTGAGACTCTGGAGAAGCGGGTGGCAAGGGCTTCGAAGAAGCAAGAAGCGACGCGCTCCGAAGAATCTCCAGTAGACGATACTTGTCGACGCAGCACTTGAAGGAGGGGGCGAGCGCGCTCCCAGTCACATTGGGAAATGTATTGAGCGGTATCGACTAAAATGTCGCGCAGTAGCATGAGTCCACCTAAAGAATTAGAACAATCCACGTAACCATAGGTTCGGTGGGGGCTGGAGACTTCAGGCACTGGCTCACTCGAGGCGGATGCGTTTGAACCGACAGAGCCAAGCATTTCATGAAGGCCGCCGGGGAATCGAAGAGACAACTGCGGTCTGCTGAAATTATGACTATGAACTCGCATGCGCAAGGGTGGCACAAACAATTGCATCCCAGGATCTGCAGATAAAGATGGCCAACCCGTTCCAATTTCTGCATGGGGTACATCGACGCCCAATCAGCACGTTTAGATTCTGTTTAGTCACTCTGTCTCTCTCCCCACACAGTACTGCTGAATGAGTATCTGGTATCGAATGACTCGCCACCAACCTCACGTCATCACCTTCTGCATCATGAAATAAATTCGTGGAGGCCATTGACGCTCCTTTGAACTATAGCTACTGACATCGGGTTTATTCTCTTCTTCCGTGTTGGGAATACCAGCTATCTCTATCCACGCCATAAGAAGTTTCGGAACTTCGGCACTTCAAATATCATTGCAATCCACGTCTAAGGCACTGTACCATCCTTCGTGTCCAATTCTCCTTGTTGCGCAGAATCCTCAGCCGGGCATGAAGGGAGGGCCTGAGAATAAACGAGATGAGTGTAAGTTGCATTTATAATTACCATCAACGACGTAACCGCTGTCGAGCTTCTTGCAGCGAGCCGAAGAAGAATGTACTGATACACCGAGCTGCAACGAGAGGAGAGTTCAGGTTTAGAGTCGTACACAAAGACCAGATCGTAATGGAACAATTAAATCTTATTCCCTCCGAGCACCTACTCGTGAGCTGAAGATGTGGGAAAATCGGTTGGAACAACTTTTCCAAGAGGTACTTATTCGTAAGCTCAAGGAGGGGTTTAAATCCAGCATTAGCCGGACTTCTACAACGAACCACTTCAGAAGTACACTGTCTGAGAAGACGCACAATTTCGGGTTAAACGACCTGAATCCTTGACTTGCATGTGCAAGCCCTGGATCCCTCAAATGCTTCGGCTATTGGAAGGTATTACGCTGGGTTGACTGCTGAGGCTGTCGATAGAGTTCTGTTGGGTGAATTGTGGCGAGCAAAATAGCCACGTCAATGCCAAGCAACGTCACCTCCTCAAATTCCGTGAACCTGGCAGTGACGACGCTCAGCTCATGACATTGTATGTTTTAAACTTGGCTTTCTAGCACCGCTATTGAGTCTCTCTATCTGCTGCATGCTAAAAAAAAAAAAACTGGAAATGTACTTGCAAAGGTACTTGTTTCCTGGTTGAGGAGGGTCCTTCCGGGGGAGGGGGAGGGAGAGGAAAGGAAGTATGGTCAGGATGCCACGACGGCACCAGATTAAGCCCGGAGAACACTAGAAATCGATCGACCCTCTAGCTAGCCCTTTCTACTCAGAGAACTCCATGCTTCGGGTGCTACGACAATACTACCCGGAAGAGTCGACTACTCGGTGGTCAAACAGCATGATAATGCCAGCCGCAGAACGGGCTACATGAACCTAGTCTGCATCGTACCCTGTGACGACAGTTCAGGCGTTTATCTAAACGCATCAATGATAGACGGGACCGAGTTCGAAGCCCACTGCTCTCCGACTCTGCTTCCATCCTGTTCCCCAACTCGACCTCAGATGGCGATTGCTGTCTCAAACCACCTCCAAACAACCCTACAAGCTTAAGCCAGAACGTACCCGCAAGACTCTTGAAACGTCAAGTGAACCATCAGATGTCCACATGGTGCTTCAAGCGGTCAGAAGGTTGAAGTGCCCATGAGCTACCACTCCCAACACTCCCATCCCCCAACCAGCACTGCATCTAGTCAATTCGCGTACCTCCAAATTCCCAAATCCTGTGAAGAACCGAAGCACCGACGCCGGAGCTTCCGAGTTCCACGACACAAAAATCGCACCGACACGTGGGGCAGAAGGTCAATAGAGGAACAAGCTCCCGATAAATAAGCGTCGAGCTTTGGAAGCGGAATGGCATATCTAGGCTGAGAGCGGCCACTGCTGCTGGCTCAGATACCTGCCAACGCCCAGCTTCCGGACCAAATGCTCGCACGTAATGACGCATGCGCAGGCTCTGGGCCCGCCAGCCAGCTTCCCATCTTGGTCCGGCACACCAACTGGGTCCCAGTTCTGCCCCGCCTGTCGCCGCCCCCGACCTCCGGTCTGCGGCATCCCGCGGCGGTTGGAATCAAAAAATCAGCTACTGTCCACTGGTGGTCCCCACAAACATGTGCAATCTTTGCTTTGCACGCGCCTCACCATGCCTCCCCCTCTGCCGCCTGTGCTTGCTCCCCGCACCCCCTCTCTCTCTACGCCATCGAACCGTCAAGTTAATTGTCTTTCGACGGACGATAATGCCACGGGTTCTCCCCGCACAACTGATCTCGCCCTGCCTGTTTCCTGATAAGCAATGTCATCCACGCACCCCCTAATTTTAGGGCCAGTTTGAAGATGCAAGCGACCTCGGCGTTGGCTGATGGTTACTCGGTCAAAGGTTCGTGAACCGAGGATCCACAAAAAAGGAATAATGGAGTTGCCCAATACTCAAAAGAATCAAGTAAAGTCGATGAGGTGAGGAAGGTGAAGATGGTGTGGGCCTGCTCTGCTCTGCTCTGCTCTGCACCGACCTGCACTGCACTGCACCTACCACAGCCAACACTTCGCAATTGCATGGTTCCCCATTTTGCACAACTCAGGGAAGGAGCTCGCCAAACCCTTCACGTCTCCTCCACCACCAATGCATCCGTCAGTCTCATCAGCATTTCCTCTGTTGATATACTGGCAGCTGCGTTCGTCTCCTTCTTCTTCTACTTCTTCATACGCTTTACTCGGGCCGACTTCTTCTTAGTTTCTAGCGCTGCAACACAATCGGAGCTCCAGGTTCTGAATGCTGCGAGCGACAACGGAATCCTGCAGGCCTCCATCTGGTCCACAAACTCCAGCTTCGTGCTTGGTCGCGGATCCAGATGCAGACCCTCATTCCGAAGACCTGCTTTCTAGGATATTCTCTTCGCAATTTTCATTCCCATTGCATTGATTTCTTCTCCACTGAATATCAGCATCATGCACATCACGTCATGCGGTGTAGAATTGATCTGCGTTATGTATATATATATATATATATATATATAGTATTATGCATGTAATAGTGTCTACATGATAGTAATCTTGTTCAGTTGAAATGACGTCGTCACAGTGGATTGGAAAGAATCTTGTGGACCTATGTTTGTATGTATGACCACCAATGGGATTTTACTTTTAACTTGATTGTTTGTTATTGTATCTTGGTGGAGAAATTTTGGTAAAAGATTAAGGAATAATTCTCACCATTGATAAATAAGCTATGCATCATGTCTGGTTTTAACGGTACCACTGTATGAATTTCTAACATGAGACTTAAGGAGAAACACTGTGGCTGAGGATAATACAACCATAATGAGTATGAAAAATACACACTATATTTATGTCTGTGTATGATTGTTACACGGCAACATTCATTAAAAATAAAACTAAGTGTACTTACACCAATGGTGATTTCTTCTTTTTTCTTTTTATTTTTTCAAACCTAGTATGGGACAAAAGCACAATGGATGAATTGGAAACACCTTCACATACTTGGTTGCACTTTTACAATTCAATGTTAATGTGTCTTTTCTTGGTTTGATTATGGAAAATTTTCACATTCTCCTTTTTTTTGTTAGTAGTTGAGTGGATTTGAGCTTTTGACACGTTGCCATGGAAGTAGGCAAAAGCCTCCACACTTGAAAGGTGGATCCCATTGCATGAAAGAAAAATGAAAAAGGTAAGAAGGTCAATAATAAATTTTATTTCATATCAAAGATTATTGTTGGCACACCACCCATCAAGAACTTAGGGGGAAAAAAAATACATATATATATATATATATATATAGTGGCATGGATGAAGAAATGCAGTGTTTAATGAAATTATGTCCCATATCCAGTGAATTTGAACAGTGTTGATTTGGTGATTTGGAATGTGTGGTGGTGGTGTAAACAAAATGAAAAGAAGGGAGCTCATGATTTGTGATGAAAATCTCTTGCAACTCCACAACCATGTCTATATTGTAAACTATTTAATTAAATTTATTTTAATGTTATTTGTTCAGATTCACTGGGGGCAACTGTGTAGGCAATCTGGGTGCACAGCCAAAGGCTTGCTATGTCAATTGGTGATCTCATGTCATCCTGGCTGATCACACCCATGCTGTGATGCTCTTGACCCAGCCTCTGCCTGGCCCACACTTCCTTGGCACGTTTTATTTTTTTTCCTACAAATCACAAATTTAGTTTACTTGTTTACTTGAGAACACATTTGGCAGATCTTTAACAAAGATCTAACAATACCTCAATGGACTGGTGATAATAATAACAACAACAATAATAATAATGATAATTAATGTCAATACTTTAAATGTTTCCAACATTTGTATGTTTTATCAAATGTCAATGATTATGGGGACCATGGAAAGCTTGCTCCATTGCGTGTTTGGTTTCCTAATGACATTTTTGCTGTGTTGATTATTCAGCTTAATGGATTTTTATTTTTTTAATTTAAAATCAGCTGGGCAGTTTATGGTGGTTGATTTGATACCCAATGTATTTGCTTGATAAAATCAACAATGAGATTCGCTTTAAAATCTGTGTCAAAAGAATTTTTGATTTGGAGGTCTGATTTTGAAGGCAATCAAATCTTTGTTGGTAATAAATAAAGAATGAATTAAAAGACTATGAATTGGCAAAGAAAATAAATATTTGTGCCTGATATGTATGTGCGTATGCATATATATATATATATATATATATATGCATTCATACATTTGACTTGTGAAGCAATGTCACAATGTAAGAATATCACTAAAGTACTTCAGGTGAAAATGTTCCTTACAAAAAATCAGAGTAATATTCTTTTTCTGAAAAGGTCATGATTAAGTGCTTAGCAATGGTCCACCAATTTCTGTAAACAGCATTCAACATTGTGAGAGTGAAGACAAAGAAATAAAAATAAAATAAAAAATTTAAGAAAACGCAACTTCAGTTATCAATTATTTCAGATTCATGGTCAATGAAATAATCAAGGATTTTAAAATAAAAAATAAATATGATTATATTTAATATTAATTGTAAATCAAAATTTAATAATTATGTGTAATCAACTTGACATTCTAAAACATAAAAATGAAAGTATGGTATATAAATTCTACTACTAAAGAACTCGTGATTAATATGTGAAAAACTTCATAGTCGATTGGAAGAAAATTTCTGATTTATCATGAATAATTATTGTTTCATCCTTTGAAACTACAGAAAATATTTTGAAATAATTTCTAAAAAATAATTGAATCTATGGAAATAATACATATATATATATATATATATATATATACTCTTTTGTAGCACATAATTGTGCATTGCCTTAGTAAAAAGAAAAAGAATACAATAAGACTTAAGTGATCAAAAAATAGTATAAAAATTTTAATTAGTGTTAAAATCCTTCACATTTCACCAGGACATTTTCTAGCAGTGAAATCAATTTGAACAGTTAAATGTCCATGCCAAGTCACAAATTGCTTGAACAAATGCCTTGTGGTTTCAAGCTATGCTACTAGAATAGTTTGAGGGTGCCCTAGCAAACCTTAAGATTCAAGACATGTTTTAGAAGTTGCTTTAAACAATTCAAAGTCTTAACATCCCATATCAAAATCAGATGATAATATTTTGGCCATATTTTCTTTGATGTGGCTGTAATGCAGGAGGCCAAGGATCTGAAGTCATTTGCACTTTGTGAAAATACCAATAGACTTCTTATTAGCAGTATTTTAATAAATATTGAAAGAGAGATATATTCTTAAAAATATTGAGATATTCAGCTAATTTTGGCACGTATAAAAATAATGTGAAACATGAAAATAATGGAAATTAACTTCGTGTGTTTTAAGTTCCAAATTGATTTTAGATACAATATACCAATCTTCAACTTGGAATTATTGATGTTAGCTAGATTTTTTTTTATTATAGTAATTACAAAAATTAAAAAAAAAAGTAGATATTTTAACCTCTAACTTGCACCTAAAAAATAACATTTGACCTCCTAAAAATAGACTACATCTTAAATTAATCTTCTCTTCTTTTCTTTTTTTTATGTACAAAGTAATTCTCGTCTTTTTAAGTTATTTATTTATTTATTTACAATAGTTGGTTTGGGCAAACTTCTATGGCCTGACATCTTTTGTGTCTTATTTCTTATTGCAATTTTATTGAATCCATGGCCAAGAGTGGTGTTACTTTTTTTATAGGATCCTTTACCTTCAAGGCACTTTGCAATGTTGTGAAGTATTTTCCACATTTTTTGAAAGTTTTAAATTTTCTACAAAAATTATACAATCCAACCTCACAATTTTATCAAAATAATGCAGTTTTTAGTTGATTCACACATAGTCCTTATTCATCAGAGAACTGAGGTCCAATGCATCCACCATTTCACAAACTCATGCACAGCAATTTCATAAGTTGCGTTCTATCCAGATCTTAATAGCAAACAAATGCAAACTTTGTGTTTGGAAAACCCATTTTAAAATATAAAATATAAAATATAAAAAAATCCTCTGCAAATCCACATGATCTTCATCTGGAAGCAGTGAGAGACAATCCCAGTGGGTGTGCCACATCGACATATCAACGTGGAAGGGGGTTTATGAATAGGGTGCCATGTCAGCATGATGACATCGTCAGAGCACACCAACGATTTGCTGATGTGGGGACAAGTTTTTGAAGGGAGGAGGGGGTGGGGGTGCAAAAACCAAGAAGCTTCCGAAGCCGGAGAAATGAAATGGGCAGTTGCTGGAGGTCCAAGCTACCACCAGCCTAGCCAAATGCACCGTCTAAACCTCATCCATCCATGTTTGGATGAATGTATGAGACATGTGGATGAATAAATGAATGAATGAAATAGAAGAGAAACAAATATCTCTTTCATCTGTTTTGGG